GCGGATCTCCTTGACGCCGTACGTCGCGGACGACGCCGGCTTGTACACGCCCACGGCCGACGGGAGCGGGATTCAGCTAAGGGAGCTGAATATCGACGGGTCGAGAAAGGTCGCCGAGGACGACCAGTGGCCGCTCGTTGGTTCTGATGCGTCTGATACGTCTGAGGGCCCCGCGAAACCTGTAAATGTGTATTTGTACCCGAAGCAATAGTTTTACGAGTTATGATCGAAATGATACCACTTGGGTCGAGGGCCCGTATTGATTTCACTTTTTGCGAAAGATCTCCCTGAAAACCATGCGTGCTAATGACTGCGTCAAGCTGGGGAGGGGGGGAATTCCACGCCGACCCCTCCTCACGAGCCGACATAGTAACCCGGATGACTGCCCAATGGTGCGGGGGTGCTTGACCCTCCACGTCCTGAATCATCAAGATCTGGGGGTGCCTAGATCTGGGGTAAGAGAGCGCCAGAGACATCATCAACGATCAGGGTCACTCACATCTTCAGCTGTTCTTACTCGACCAAGACGCCGGATTCGATGCAAGTCCTCCAGCCACGGTTACACAGGGATAAGACAAATTTACCAGTGTCTTATATGACACGGAGATCCAAAGGGGCGTCATCACACACATGTTAGAATTTATCTACTACGACTTAGCGACCAAGCCATGCCATAGAAAGCAAATAAGCCAATAGAACCCCCTTCCATGCCGTATATGTCGAGGTGAACTTGGGGAGATTGTGCAGAGCCAGCCAGCTCGTGGGCCAGAACAGTCGATTTTCTCACGAGTCAAGAAGCTCGTCTTTTACTACCGCCGCCGCTGCCTTCCACATTCTGTCAGATTAGGCATGTGTGTGTGTGTGTGTGTGTGTGCGCGCGCGCGCGCGTGTTGCATGCGTAGCTTTACAGTAATTGCCCGCAAATCTTATGTGAATAAAGGTGGTGGTGGGCGTCACGGTCCTTGAACCAGATCCTTGGGTGCTGTACCCAAGTGGCTGGTAGGCAAAGAGGGAGGGATGGCCGCCGTGAGTCAGAATAAGCTTCATTTGGACTCCCTTGAGTCGGCACTGCCTATGGTCAGAGACATGTACATTATCACAGTGATTTGAAGTCTTAGAAGTGCCGAGGAATGAGGGATGTCTGACTCCGATTCTGAAGTTGACGATCTGAGCTTTGATGTCGTCTGATCGGGCCAGCGCCCTATGGGCGGTAAAGCTACACGAGGCTGCTCAAAACCTTAGCCACAAGTCATCCTGATTCAACCCTCCTTGCGAACATTTCTGTCTTCCAGATTAAGTAACAGAACCCAGGGCGGGAAACTTTCCCCGTCCAGCCCATCCTCCCCATTGTTGCCTGAAAAACTCATGATCAAGGACGCAATCCATTTTCTGGCCAAACGATTGTGACATCCAGTCTTTCACGACCTGGCAACTTGGACCCCCGCAAGGACCGTTTGTATGATGGCCAACATAATACCAGCCCCCCCAACCCACAGGACCGCCCAAAAGGTATACCACTGCAGCGGATTCCTGCGGTCCCTCCAGAGGTCCGTCAACCGGCGAGGCTTCTGGCGCAGGCTGAACCTCTGGAGGTTGATGAGGCGATAGCCCAGCCGCGGGAAGTCGCTTTGGGCGCTGTAGACGTCGCTCTCCAGGAGCTTCTCCTGCTCAAAGTCTCTACATCCCACCGGCCAGATGCTGCGCGGCAGTTTGTCGACCTCCTTCTTGGGACCGCAGAGGGTATGGAGCAGGTTGTCGAACGGTTGGCCGCTCTTCTCGAGCTTTCCGAGATCGGACCTGATGAGCTTCCTCGAGCGAGCGCTCTGTCCGAAGAGGAGGCGGTAGGAGACTAGGACTTCCTGTTCCAAGGTGACGTAGTTCTGGTATCGATTTTCTGGAGTAATTGGCATGAAGCCTTCATTAATGCTGCCCATCACCTTGTCAGAGAAGCATTTAGATAGTTAAGTCCAGCAAGGATTACTTACCTGTCGAGCAGGGGAGTTGCCTCTTTCCCCTCCTTTCGTAGTGCTGACAAGACGCAGAATGTCGGGAAGCGAAAGATGGAAAGACGCCGGTTAACCAGGTCGAACTTGAGATGTTCACTCAGCGTGTCCACCCACTGAATTCTAATACGCCCGAACAGTAGAACCTCAAGATTCAGACTCCCTTCGTATAGACTATCATTTTCTCCAGTCGAATAATCTACGTTTGGAGGTTGATCATCCCACGCGCTGTGTTTAAAAAGCTCAAAAACTCGTTTGATCGGCCGCTTTGCCTCCCTCAAGTTCTGTCTAGCGATTTGACCTTGCAAATTCGACTCGTCTGTCAGGCTTGGAAATCTACAAGCGAGGCAGACCTGGCCCCCACAAGGTTCGAAATCCAACGACGGTTGAAGAGTCATGGTCAACCAGCATACTGCAGCGAAGACGGCCGCAAGAAGTAGAGGGCCCGAAGACTCTCTGATATTTTCTACTGAAGATAACACATGGTTTCTGAGATCCTCAATGCTGGTGTCCTTCTCTGCTGACTTGAAACTATAAGCTACTGTATGCAGAAACTTCCAACAGTCTGTTATTGTGCCTGCTGTTGGGTTGGATAAAGACGGCCATATGGGCAAGAATCCAGGGTCTGTAAGGGGTATGATTTGGGATTCGGTGTAATCGCAGTACGCTTGAATACTGGGGAATCCCTCAATTTCTGCCTTTGACAGACCAAAGACGGCCTCCAAGGTTTGGGAACGAAATATTGACAAGGGCGATGCTTCCGGATCGTTGAGGTCTGAGACCTGCGTCTCCAAGTCGACTTCTGTTTTCGGTCCAGGCTGTGGTAGTATCCTACGGAGAAAAGAGTCTTTTCCCAGCTTCTTCCTATATGTTATCAGTTACTCGCGCTCTAAATAAAGTTCAGGGCTAATGCATACATCTTATTCCCTGTCGCGGCGCCTACCTCTAATGCAACTGAGAAAATTGCGTTATGCGCTGCAGAGGACGTCTAGCCTTGCCAATTGTTGCGGCTTTGGTTAAACAGCGATGTATAAATCAAGCACCATTGTCCGAAGACATGATCAAAGACGTCATTCGATACTCATGACCATATAACACTCCCTCCTGACCGGCTGAGGCTGAGAAGTCCGAAGACGAGGGAAATAAGCCAGCTATTCAACCATTTCCAACACACTATAACCGTTGATTCTACCCCCGAGGACTGGAATACATGTGCCAAGAAGTGAACGCTTACTTTACTCAGGCAGCCGGGGCCGTCTCAGCCGTCCATGCGACACAGACAGCGGCAGCTGGATAGAGAGCGGTAAGCAGCAACAAGCATTTGAACCTTCCTTGTCTCCGCTGATGCCCCTGATGCTTATGGAGTAGGAACTCAGGGTATCACAGAATCTCAAGTATTCCAATCAATTTTTGTCGGCTCTAGCCCCAAGAAAAACCCAAGGCGTCTCGGGCACCCGCTCATCGAGGCATCAAGTGTGGCGCTCAATCTTACAAATGAGTGCACAACATGCGGCCATGAGACGATGAGCTCTGTGGTATGATTGATCAACTGCTTACTTATGTCCACTTTGCGTCAGACTTTATCCTCGAAAAGTTGCTCGGATACTGCACGTCGGAAGCAGGCTGGGCAAGGGCGCTCATACCAGGCAACGAGCTCTACACCACCCTACGACTGAAGTGCCATAAGCTGCTGCAGACGAGATCAGGCTATCCTATCAAAAGCTCTCTTGTCTGAAAGGGGAATGTCATTTGGCGCCGACCTTGGCAATGCAGAACAGTCTGCATCCGAAGGACGTAAGCCCCGCACTCCTCGGCCGCGACCGAAGTTGAACCTGTCCGTTTGTACCTACAGTATCGAAGCTTCATCTCAGGTATGTGGAGCATGTCATTTCGGACTCAGAGGTTTGTCTGGTTATATGGAGGATACACTGACACATCGACAGCATTTGAATGCTCGTTGGACTCAGTGCTGGAGGGCGTGAGGAGCTCAAAGATGGGTTCTAATTTAGTGGTGTAAGTGGTTAGCCGGGTCTTGTAGCCGTTCAATGAAGAGAAGCGGTTACATGAGGTAAATGGAGGTCTTTAGTGTCTCCCAAATCAACTTCTTGCCGGGCCTTTGCATGTCGACGTGGATGCGCCGCATTCGAGAAACTGTAACGGAGCATATGTAAAACTACCACCCAAACAGGAGTGAGAGCTTCTTGTCCCTTGGTTCTGTTTCCCTGCCCCTCTCCTAGCGAAGCAACCCAAAAATCACTGAGAAGCTACGGAAGCATCATTCAGCATGGAGCAGTCTGAGATGTATGTTGATTCTATACAATATCTATCGATGACTAAGTATCTGACTATATTCTAGGGAGGCACACTTCGCCCGGCAATGGGCATCTACCTCGAAATCAGGAACCGAGCGCATGGAACCGAACGATCGTCGGACAATCAAGATTTTCAGGAATTATGACGATATCAAAGAAGACTTTCTTGAAGGACTGGACGACACTCATCAAGATCTTGGCATGCTCGAGCCACGACTTGTATACCTGAGAAGCTTCAGTGATTACTTTTCCACCAGACTCGGCCCTGAGCTTGACCCAAAGATTTTCTGGGGCCTAGTTGGGCTAATTCTTACGGCAAGTCAATTTTTCCTCAAACTGTCGAAGCCACTATCGGGCTAACAACAGCGTAGATTGCTCTGCCCGACGAAGAAGCCACGCGGCGCATCACTCAAATGCTTAAGAAGCTTGGCCGAGCCTGTCAGACCTTCCAACTCCATGCGTGCCAGAGTTCTACCCCATCAAAGGGTGAAAAGGAAGCATGCTTTGAGATCTTCGTTTCGATGACAAGATTTCTATCAGATGCCATCAGGTTTCTGCGGGATGCTGGAGATATTTCCAGCCTCTCATCTCCGCACGGTAGGATCTAGGAGTACGTACACCTGACTGTTACGCTTGTTGACGCCTTGTAGGTCACGCGCAGGGATCGTGGGTTAAGTTGACGGACATGTACGACAGTGTCCAGGCCGAGATTGATGAGTGGTTAAAAGAGATTGAGAAGATGGCAGAAATCGCCCAGAGGCAGGCTACGATGTTGTCGTTTCTAGCCCTTTCCCCTCGCTCCTTCACTGATAAGGCCAAGCTGCCTTCCTATGTCCTACCCACTGCCAGTACGAACCGATTTTTCAATCGCGACGAAGTCATCGAGGAGATAGATCACCAACTCGGGGAGCAGAGAATCGATGGCCTGCGATCACTTGCGCTCTATGGCATGGGTGGCGTAGGTAAGAGTCATGTCGCTTTGAAGTACATCGAAAAAAAGAAGGCAGAGAAAGGGCTCACTGCGATATTCTGGGTCCACGCTGAGAACATAATATCCTTTCAGCAGAGCTTCACCGACATTGCTCTGAGACTAGACCTCCCTGGAGCCCAGCGAACCTTGCTTGATGAGAATCGACTAATCGTGAAGGACTGGCTTCAGCAGACGGGTCAGTCGTCAAAGCTTCTTCGAATCCCGAGACTTGACTAACATGAACAGAATGCAAATGGCTCATAGTGTACGATAACGTGGAGAGTTTTGATCTTCTACGGGCCAATTGGCCCTTGCCAGGTAGCCAAGGCTTAGCATTGATCACAACACGAAACCACTCGCTAGCTTTTGGCCCAGCCAGTGGAGGTCTTGAGGTCCCCTCATGGAATACAGAGAATGGTACCAAGTTCCTCTTGCACCTCCTATCTGGTCATATCAGTGCAGACCTTCTGGCGAACGAAGCAAAGTCTGCATATAGTCTGGCCGAAAGACTCAGTGGTCATGCGCTAGCAATCTCGAACATGAGCGGACTCATTCAACGTCGGTCCTGGTCTATTTCACAGCTTCTCGACAATTATGGAAGTAATTTGAACTTCAAGGACGGTTTGGAGGCGGTCTGGAAGGTTTCCTTCCAGAACCTGAAGCCCGACAGCGCCGCTCTGCTGGCTGCGTTCAGCTACTGCGCTCCTGACAGAATTCCTCATTCGCTTTTTGAGTTGCAGGAAGCCGAGGACCTCCCTGATAGCTTACTCTGGTTCCTTGATGTGGATAGGTGATAACGCCCCTTATATATTGCAAGCATCGTGGTCGCTAATCAGGTATCTGACAGATTTGAAGAGGCAATGGAAGAGCTGTTGACTCTAGCACTTGTTAAAAGAGACAGACAGACTCAAACTTACTCCATCCATCGGCTCATCCAGACTCACTTCCTGCGTTACATGACGCCAGAAGACCGGCAAAAGTCGTTCATAGAGGCATCGCACCTGATGGAAAACGTGTTTCCCAAGAGGCCCGACGGCAAAACGGCAACGATGTACAATATGTGGGAGCAATGTCAGCTGTGGGTACAGCACGTATTGCAGCTCAAGAATTGTTTCAGGCTGGAAATGAGGCGCGATCCCGGGTTCTACGCTTGCACGAAGACCTGCGCAATGTGGGCTCAATGTGGACGGTCGGCATACATCTATTCAAGATACCGTTCATACCAGCTGACTTCTCCTCCAGATTTCTATTGGAGCAGCAGACCTGGCCTGAGCTCGAAGATCTTGTCGAAGTAGGCAAACTGGCCTTGGCAACTCTTCCTGAACAGGATCCTGAGCTGTACAACCTTACCTCGCCGGACACGTATATTGGACAGATGTGGGCGCGTCGAGGCCATTACCGTTTGGCAATAGAAGTGATGGTGAGCGCACGCAATATGAAGTTGAAGGCTCCTCAAGAAGATCATCAAAACTTGAGCTGGATGGCGAACAATATATCTGCATTCTTCTCCTGCCTAGGCGAGTATGAGACCGCTCTGGAATGGCAAGAAACCAGCAAAGTGTCTTGGGAGCGATGGGCCAAGTCTGAGAATGTTGAATTTCATTGGCACCCAAACCAAAGATACGGCAAGGGGAGAACTTTGGCGTATATGAAGAGGTACGACGAAGCTAGGACCGACATCGACGAATCCCTAGAGGACATGATGACAACCAAGCCGGTCATTTGGGGGACGGCGGGACCGTAAGTTTTGAGCCCCCGGGAATTAACGCCATCTCAATGGATTCGGACAGCTCTGGCTAATGTCTCATTCTTCTGCTTAGGTGTCAGTTCGCTCGTGCTAGACTAGCCATGTTTGAAGGAGACTTCAAACTTGCCGAGCTCTTGTTCCAAAAGGCGCAAAGCATATGGCTCACGGGCAACAGTTCCAAGACTTCGGACTTCTACGCGGCTACAATCTACCGCATGGGATGTTGCGCGCTACTCGAAGGAGAAGTGGAACGAGCTACGTAAGTCTAGATCTGGAAAGATAGAGAAGATACCTTGCCTTTACTAACACAACCTAGGAAACATCTCCAAGACGCGATTGCAATTACATCATTGCGAAAAGACATCCAGGTGGGAGAGCATGCTCGCTGTCTCTACAAGCTTTCAGAGGCTCTCTATCAGATACCTGGTCGTGAACTGGAAGCGGACAGGTTGCTCAAAGAAGCCGAGGAGCTCTACTGGAAGCGTGTCGAAAAGCCAAAAGGTGTTTCTGAGGAGGACCACGCAGAGTACGAAGTACCACAAATTCATCCGCAAGAAGAAGATTACGACTCTCTGGTCTATATGTTATGGCGCTGAACATCAGGGGAACTTTCATAGCTGTAATATGATGTTGGATTCAATCCTGGTGCTGAGAGCCGAAGAGTTGATCAGGGATTTTGCCCTTCTAAAAACACCCAATGGCGGTCCAATTGCAGTTCTTGTGATTCCGTGCTGCTTGAAGGTAAGGCGGTGTGACTTGATGGCACACATGATTTTGGTGGCTGGCTTGTGAGGCGCAATTCGCCGAACAGGCCTCAGGAGGAAGACGGCAAATGGTGTAGACCAAAGTACCGTCGAGCTATATGAAAATAAATACTAATCCTCAAGGATAGGGGGGTTCCCGGCGTGCCTTTATGAGAGGAGTACGAACACACAGTAAGTAGCAGTTGAGCGGCATATGGTGAATAGAATCCCCCACGGTTGTGTCCTTTCCCGAAGAAGGGAGGTTGGATTAGGCGAAGGACCCATCGCGGTACCTTCTGCATGGTGTGGAGCCGCTGACTAAGACAACAGGCGTGCACGTTCACCTCTGAGCTCCCTGAACATTCAACCTCTTTCAACTTCGAAGAGCTCAACTTCGCGACAAACAAATGCTTGCGACAGACAGCGGATAATTGCACTTTGATCAAACCTGGCCATCTCCGAATACTTTATGCCCCTAAACAGGATACGAATTGGATCGACCGGCTAATTCGGGCAGTTACCTGCTGTCCTGAGCAACATCGAATGAATTGAACCCACCACGGGACCAGATCCACTTCATAGCTTGCGACGGACTTCATCAACAAGAGCGCAGTATGTGCTAGCACATCCAGCTTATCCCTCAGTCATCTAAGCTATTGGATTCTCATTGGTTTGACTCACGGCATTACTGGCAAGCTGCCTCTGGAGACCTGGGGACTGTCTGAGGCGGCCGTTCATCTCATCGGAGCTCTCATTCGGCCCTGGCGCGAACCTCACTGCCGTCGACTCCTTAGCAACCCTACACCAACCCAGGATGTCGGACTTAGTAGAGTACTCGGTTGTCAACGTGTGTCGAAGCGATGGTCAGGATAATGGAGCGGGGTACTGGCCAACCCCTGCCGATACGGCTGCGAAGAACGCGAAGAAGACAGCACTGGAGAAGGTACCGAGAGCGAAACCTCAAATGGTGCGGTTAGACAAAGACGACGCAAGATTTCAAGAGTGGCGCATAAAGCTGGGAATATTGTTGAAGCAAGAACTCTCTCCGACAGGTAAGCTCGCCGCCGTCCGCAAATGCGAAGTAGCACGTTCACCGACACCCTTCACAGAGGGTCTCCCCTGGCTCATGCATTTTCCACGGGGCTACTGGCTATACGAAAAGTCTAAGCATCTTTGGGTCTCGGGGCATCCAGTAAAGTCGAAGCTTTACAAGAGCCCGCAGGAATTTGGTCTTCATGTCCTATGGCTTCTGTCCGGCTCGATGGACCGAACTGACTGCCGTTGCATTCACTGCAACGTTCGCGAAATGCCAAATATGGAGGAACTCACTGTCTCGGATGTTCCTCGGCCTCTGCCAGCAGCGAACAACACTCAGCCACCGTCCAAGATGCGCAAGATTACACCTCAAATACCCCCGGGCGTTGCGGCGTCCCCGATACCCGTTCCCGCCGCGGCGTCAACGCCTCCAATGGCGAAGAAGGAGACACCTGTGCCAGTGCCCACCCCAATGGCGAAGAAGGAAACTCCAGTTCCGATACCGACGATACCCTCACGCGCGGGGCCCGCTCCCGCCCCGGCGCAAGCTCCAGTTCAGACTAAGCCCCCTGTACAGCAACAGCAACAGCAGCAGCAGCCTCCTCAGCCGATCCAGGCAACTCCTGTTCATCCGCAGGTTCAGGCTCCATCACAGGTTCCCGTTCAACCTCAAGTCCAGCAACCAGTCCAGCAACCAGTCCAACAGCAAATCCAGCAGCCGATTCAACAGCCGATCCAACAGCAACAGCAAGCTCAGCAACAGCCTGCAGCTCCGGCCCAGGCTCAACAGCCGGTTCAATCTCAAGTACATGCGCCGGCACCGCCAGTCTATCAGCAACCGCAGTTCCTGCCTTACCCTCAGCCTTACGGCGGAATTGTAGCTCCGGCTCTGTTCCGCGTTGGAGAACTGGTCTGGTTCCAGATATCGTCAGGTTGGCGTTTGGGCATCGTGGCCGCTACAGGCATTATTAACCCTAATACCAATAAAGCCGAGCTTCAGATTCTCCCAATGTCACACGTCAACTTCAACCAGTCGCCAATTCAGACACTGGAAGCGACAACGCGCCCGTTCCTGGCATTCTCAGTGCCTAACGTCAGCATTTCAGATCTTCAAAACAAGGCCTATGACGAGGTTGACTGGGATGCCTTCTTCCAGACAATTACTCCAGAAGACACGCACCGCCGTGAGGTTGCGCTGCTCGACTCTTCCAAGATGGCCGCCCAGAAGGTGGGCGTGTCGTTCTCTGTCTTCAGCCGACTTTCCGAGACAAATGGGGGGAAGAAGATTGACTACCACGGTATTTTCCTGGGCGCCGAGCGGATCGAACTTGGTGATGTCTTGCGCGTGCGTCTCTCAGCCGAACAAGGCGTGCCTCCTGCGGCGGCGAACCTCCCCGACGCACTCCTCGGCCTCCGTGAGATCTGCACCGCGCCTATCGATTCGCCTGGTAACGCATTCTTCAAGGGAGATATTTACCAGCCCATCAGTGGCGATAACCAACCCGTGGGCGGCATCCCAGTACCGGATGACAAACTCCCGCGCCCACTACGCGACGAGATTGCGTTCCGCAATAAGTTTGCCGCGAACGACCGCTGGCGCTGCGTGCTCCTCAAGCAGAACGCCGTCCTCCGCGAGCCGGACCTCAAGGGCCGATTCTACCCCACGCATAAGCTCCTACCCCTGCTCGATGGCCAAGCCAAGGTCCTTGCTGAGGTGCAGAAAGGCATTGTGCGTGACGTGCAGCAGCGACTCAACCAGCGCATCGACACGTTCAAGACGGCGTACATTGGCCAGAAGCGGACTCGCGTCGAGACTATCGGGCCTGCCCTTCCTCCTGGCAGCGTGATCCAGTTTGAGCAATCCGTACGTGAGGATGGCGCCTAGGCGGGACGCCTACGACACCGTTAAGGAGAGAAATGTCTCACTAGTGACGAAGCAATATGAGACTGTCCTGGTTAGGATAGACAGGCATCAGAGCCCTGTAAAGAATAGGAATACTACATAGACGTCGCCGTTAGGATTTGATGTTACCATTCGGTTCTGTGGAGTGTTTAGTCGGAAGTGAACGTGTCTTTCCGTTTCTAGGTATTTTCCATGTGAACCATCTAGCTTGGTAGGCTGTAGCTAGCTGGAGCACATCTTCATATGGATGCTCAGCCAATACTACTTGGTTAACAAGCCAAGACGGATACGCCGGGCGGCAAGGCATGACCAAGTTGGTAGCATCTTCACTCCTCTTCAAGACAATGGTCGTTGAAAAGGTAAGTCGACGAGATAGGTAGGTGACACACATCCAAGCTGAGATCCGCAACATCCATAACCTCGAGTGCGAGACATCAGCTTTCAACGAGCAGCATGCCATACACACATACACACAGACACACACATAAACGCCATCATCTTAACAAGAAACAGCCGTACCGCCCAATCAGCAAAGAAAATCCAGCCACACTCCATCTCTCCAGCCCCGCCACTCACATCCCCCCAAGGCCATCTTGAATGAACCTCATCCTATGAACATCCTGTCAGTTAAGCTACCCACCTACAGATTAGGTCTCATAACATGGACCACCAGATGAGTGGAACCATCCATGACAGGAGGGAAGAGGTTGCGTGGAGGAGGACAGAGAAGAAACGTTCCGTGGTTTCCCAGCTTGCGTATCCAGCCAACCATCCATCAGAACCCAAACTACCGGACGTGGGCAGACGCGCAACACACACAAACGGGCTGACGGGTTCACTCACTCACTCACTCACTCACTCACTCACTCATCCCACCCACATACCCGGCGGATAGGACCGACCGAACAAATCTTGGAAAAGGGAAACTAAGCAAAACGCCACCGGATTACCTTGACTTCACTACACACACTTACCTTACTTCACACTCTCTACTACTGCTTCTACTGCTATTGGTGCAGTTACATACACCTCACTCTCCTATAATTCTGCAACGCTATACCCGTACACGTGCAGACACGAACTTTGGCCCCCAACCGCACACATGTCAGCAGAGAGGCCCGTAACCTAACCCAAGATTGTATGTACATTCTGTTCCTGGGACCCTTATTCGTCCTACCTCAACCGCTCGTTCCCCATCCAACAGCTGAATTCTGAAAGGTAAACGTCGTATAGGCCCCCTTAGGTTCTTCTCGGCCCCTTTTCTAGCTTCCCTTCTAGAAGGGTGGTCCAGGTCATACGGATTTACGGATTTTTGGGGGCCCGGGGTCGGGGGGAGGGTCGCCATAACCCATCCAACCCACACACATGAGAGACTTAAGTGCGTATGGGATAGGCGCAACTGAGCAACCAACCAAAGCGACAAAGACAACAACACCTGCAACCACCGTGGCGAAGCGCAACCAAATCGGTGGAAGCCCTTTCCCAAGACCTAGGAAAGAAGCCATTGTAGCTTGGAAAAAAAGTTCTATAATTTCTTCTCATCACATGGAAAGCCCGAGAACCCGTATCCAATCCGCCCTCACAACACCGCCCACTAACCACAGCCCCCAATGGAACACCAAAAGTCAGTAACCCACCTCACCCACACGCACATTAAACCACACCACACACACCCCTCCATCACACACCGCACCCAATGATTCCGATTCCCGCTTCCGCCACCCCCTTTCAACCACCACCACCACCACCATCACCACCTCCCGGGCTCACGGGCTCGTGTAGTGCCAGCAAGCCCCCAAAGTACGCAACGACACGACCATGAACCTCCAGAAAAAAAAAAAAAAAACCGTTGCCGACCGACTTCCCGGGTTTGAAGGCGGGTTCCAATGGTCGGTCTGTGCTTGGAAATTATGTG